TCCGCAAACTACGTTTCACAACAAAACACACGCGAGAAGTGATAAGGAAATAACGCGAAAAGCCGCGTGCGTCAGACCCGAGTTCTCGAGCAAGACTGGAATTATTAAAAAAATATATATATAGCCCGCAAATTGTCTGTGAGGTGATTTCCAGCTACAAGGAGAAAAATAAAAACAGATTATGCAGGAGAGAGATGCAGGGAACAGGGATTGGGTGTTCTGTAAGCCAAATATTTTGCGGGCGTCGGCGATTCCCTCAGATCGCGTCTTTGATAATTCACACTGCGTGATTGTCACTCGAGTGAACGAGCACCGATTTGCCTCCGATTTCGGGCATTTGTCGGCGATTTCGCAAAACCTGTCGGCGAGTGAAAAATCTGGCTAAAATCGTGCAGTGTGAACTCGGCATTACGTGTGTCGCAACCGTCGCAGCCTACGATTCAATAGGTGTCATCATCGTACAGTCTACATGCTTGTCGTACCCAAGTTTAAACGATCCATGTCGCACAGTGTGATAAAGTAATGATTTATAGGATTTATAGGATTGCTAAAATCGTGCAGTGTATCCCGGGCTTAAGACAGGCATTGACACAAGACTGTCAGTACTGTATAAGAGAGAACACGGGGGTTGATTGCAGCTTTTCAGATCCATTGAGATACTTCAGTTCCACCACTAAACAGCCCAGCACCTCTGCCTTTTGCCGTTTGATCAGCTCACACGCCGCATACAGGGTTCCTAACAAGAAAAAAACAAAACTTTACTCTATTGTACTGTTGGTACATTAAACTGAATTCAAAGCATTCTGTTCTAGGCATTATGAAACAGCTTGGTGTAAAAATACACTACCAGACAAAAGTTTAGATATTTGACTTGAATGAGTTTTGTGTGTAAATACAGTATATATATATATATATATACAGAGTTCTGGGTAGATTTGTTATAAACTGCAATAGTCTGACTGATTGCAAATTACATAATGAAAACACTGTTAGTAATTACAGATTAATTTTGACCTAACTCATTTAACACCTTGATTTGAATAAGATAATCTTGTACCATTTTGATGTTAAAAAAAGAAAATATATTCCATTCTTTGTTATCAACAACATTAAGTGCATTATTAAACATTATATTATGCCAAGGTTTGCCAAACTGGGGTTCTTCAAGTAACTGCAGAGGGTTTGCAAGTTGATGAAAAGTTAATAATTCATAAAAATGTAAAGTAAAATAAAAACAAGTGAAAATAAAACACTAAAAATATGTTTACCTGCAGGTCATGTGACCATTAAACATCGGAGAACTGTGAATATGCAAATGTTTTAACTTATTGTCTTAATTATTACCTTAAAATCACAAGTAAATATTATATCAATGGCATTCCATGCAAACATAAATATACATCAATTTGTGTATTTTAATGTGTTTGAAAGGCAAAAGCCTTCCAAAGACACCGTAATAGATGGTTAAATAACTCACTGAATGATAATTCAAATGTGTTTGTCAGGAGTTGAGGAATTCAATGTTGAGAAAACACTCCTTAAAAGCAGGCCCAGACTGGCCATCGGGAGCACCGGGAGAATTCCCGGTGACCTGGCGGCTGATTTGGCCCGCTGCCCTGTTTTTTTATTTTACCCTTCAAGTACTTTATAAGTAATTCAGTTGTAGTATAGCTGAAGTAAACAGGTTTAATGTCTCACTCACCTCCAGTAGCCAGTAAATCATCAACGATCAGGACCTTCTTTCCTGCAGAAACAGCGTCTTCCTGCATCTCCGCCTCGGCCTGAAACGATACTGCTGAATTACATAATGAACAGAGGCTTGCATTATAACTGCACATAGACTAGATGTGATACTGGATAATTTATAAACCGGAGTTACCTTTGCATACTCAAGACTATAAGCTACTGATAACGTGGGACCAGGGAGCTTCCCTTTTTTTCTGATTGGAGCAAATCCTACACCTAATCTCTGAGCCAAAAGCGGCCCAAACAGAAATCCTCGAGCGTCAAGTCCTAGGAGAGAATGAAGAAAACATCATTATAACAATACACCGCTTGCGATTCCTTTCTATTAAAAAAATTCTGGGACAAAAATGGAAATCTTCATGAAGGACTCCAACAGTTTATTAAAACCAACGGTAGACTGACTTAAACAGGAGTAGATTTAAAAACAAAAGTTTGTCAAAATAACTTTGATATTGGCTTGAGAAAGCCTGACCAGAAAGTTTGAAGTAGTTTTAGAAGCTTGACATTTGAAGGTAGTGGTTACTACGCAGTTGCTTGGGCATTCTGGGTGGTTTATAGAGTGTTGCTACACAGGGTGTTCTGGGTGGTTGTTAGGCGGTTGCTAGTGTGTTCTGGGTAGTTGCAAGATGGTTGCTAGGGTGTTGCTGTGCAGTTTTTAAAGTGGTCTTTGTGGTTGCTAGGGTTTTCTATGCAGTCCCTTAAGTATTCTAGGTGATTACTTGCTGATTCATAGGGTGTTTAGATGCTGATTCACTTTATGGTTGCTCGAGTGTTTCTTAGCCAAGGTATTCTGGGTGACTGCTAGGGTGTTGCTATGCATTTGCTAGGATGTTTTGGGTGACTGCTAGGGTGTTGCTGTGCAGTTTCTAAGGTGTTCTGTGTGGTTGCTAGCCTGTTCCTAGAGTGTTCTGGATGGTTGCTAGAGTGTTGCTGTGTTTGCTAGGATGTTTTGGGTGGTTGCTAGGGTGTTGCTGTGCAGTTTCTAAGGTGTTCTGTGTGGTTGCTAGCCTGTTCCTAAAGTGTTCTGGACGGTTGCTAGAGTGTTGCTGTGTTTGCTAGGATGTTTTGTTTTAGGTTAGGATGTTTAGACTTTTAAGTCTATGCAGTTGCACAATAATTCCCAAAATAGGGTCATTATGATCACCAATAGGTTAAAATACCCTGTATGACAACACAAGAAATTAAAACAAATATTTCAGGAATGTCCTCTACTCTAGGTCCCGTGACTTCCTATAACGGTCCTGTAATTTCAATTGAACAATATACATTCCATGTATATTTCTAATATACATTACAATATCACACTATCCAACAGGAGTCCTGTTGGATAGTAATATTGTGTAATTCTTCCAGGATTTTGTTAGTGTCCTGTTACATCCCATTTCGTTATCCTTATTTGACCCTTAGGATCGGATCCAATAGAAATCCTTCTTTTTTTCCCTCGCACAAGTGTTATCAGGAGTTTTGCAACTTTGAACCTTGTAATGTGCCACACTCATACATACTGAATGAATGCACTCGCTCTTACCGACTATAAGATCCACCTGAGGATACGCGCGCCTCACCTGCTCCTCAAAGAGATCGGTCACAGCAGCCAGCGCCTTCGGATCCTTCAAGACTGGAAAAATATCCCTGCAGACGAACAGCACAGACAATCTGAAACTGCCAAACCCGAACATCTCTGTCCCGTTCTTCCGCACCGCTTTTAACATGCACGCTCATAGTAAAATGGCATTGTACATGAATAACGGTACTCACTTGAACGGAATCCCCTTCGTATGGAAATCAGGGAAAGTTCTAATGCACTTGGAAATAAGATCCAGTTTCCCTGCCATGACACGCGCTGCGAATGTTTGGACTGAGACAGGAAGATGTCCACGTGCTCAAGTCAACCACTAGCACACGCTTCCTCACCACATGACATTTACGTCATCAAATGTGGAACAGAACTGCTTTAATAAGGGTATTTATTATTATTATTATTATTATTGCCACAAACATATAACATAAAATAATGTAAGTAACTTAAAATAATTCTACACGTAGTATATAAATACAGCCAAAGGATCATTCCATCCGTAATAAAGGAGGGGAGAACGGAACGAAAGGACAAAATCCCAGCGGATTGCAGCTGTAGTGGAGAAAACAAACAGATGTATTCTACACAGGATACCAGGCAGTGTCTCCTCATTACTTTGCTTTAAAAAAATAATATATATA